TTCAGCCCCCCCCCCCCAAGAACTTGAAAAGAAATCTGCTGACTAAAGAAAAGAAATCGAACCATCTGAGCGAGCCTAATCTCTCCGGGAGCAAGTCATCCACTTATATTATAAAGTGAACTAAAATAGCGATTTCACAGCTACATGGAGTACCGCAGGAAAAAAGCACGGTGGCTTGAACGTACTTGGTTAGGGTTTTGCACCTCCGGTTGCTTGGCTTCCGTGTGCACTTGCGGTTCCGTCTCATGGTTCGTGCTATTTTTTTCAGACAACTCTGATATAACTGAGGAATTTCCTGAAACGGACCAGAAAAATATCTGAAATCTAAATCAAAACACTTACCGGAACTATGTCCCATCATCTTTTGTCTGCGCTCTAATAGTTCCATACGTTGCAAAACCTCTTTCTCGTTAAGGAGTCGGAGGTCAAAACGATTCTGTGCACAGAGAGAAAACCGGAACAAAGATTATATTTGAGAAACGTAACCAGGCGATTGAGGACAAATTAAATAAAGTATCATCAAAAGGAAAGATGGAGGATGACTGTATGATTAAACATGTTCTTGTTTCAATACTCTGCAAATTCACAGACAGCAAGTTATGTTTATTGTTGTTCTGGCCTAGGTTTTACTTCTTAGGATTTCATGTATTCACCACATTTCTTGTATATAATGTGTTATCGAAGACATTGTGCGAAGCCCGATAGAGAGCATTAGACAGTAGTTCTGTTTCAACAATCACAGAACCGCTATTCAGTCCTCCTCGTTGGTTTTAACACAATTTCTTTAATAACAGGTAGGTGATGGTTATCATAGGTATCAGAAAAAGAAAGTTTGAAACCTCGACAGCGAGCAGGAACATCAGTGACATTGGGTGCATGGGAACATGGAATTACTTGAAAGTAAAGTAACGCCAAACCGGTGGACCCGGTTAACCAACGATGATCAATAATTAAACAAAGCGGTGAACCGGCATCGTACTCGGAGAGTAGTAAGCCATTAAGCGGACAAGAAAGGAAAAATAAATCCTATGACCTTCATGGATTTGTATTCTATTGAACTATCGTACGAAAATAACTCGACTTTTGTGAGAAAGATTACACATTTCACATAAAAAGATAGCTAAAACGCCAGCATATTTGAAGAGGAACATAAAAGTTTGAAGGAAAATCAATGATGTGATACCATAGTGAAATCTATTCCCTCAGATATACAAGCAACCAAAGGTTGCAAGTTTTCAAATAAGATGCTGTGTTCAGTTCATCTCAGTGTATGCAAACATTAATCAGGCACATTCCTGCGCCGAGTTTGTTTGCTCTCTCATGCTTGCCCAACTGGATGAAATAGTAAAAGGAGGATGGAATGTTCCAATCAGTATCAGAGTGAAAGTGAAGAATTCATGAAGGTCAAGGTTTCAGGGATAGCGCGTAGATGCATGGCTACAACAGCCATATAACTTAGTGCAATAATCGAGAATCCAAGAAACTGCGGACAGTTAAATTTTTTCAATATCATGAGTTAGACAAGATACCTTCCAAACTGGGCCCGTTGTAATGTAAGCAAACTGGAAAGAATCATGAAGCATGGGTGGGGGAATGAAGGTAAGAGAGAGAGATAGTACATATTTGATTAGCTAAACTCCAGATGAGAATAAATCGAAGGGGTGAAACTGTTCAAGCGGAGGAACGTGTTAATCAGCTAGACCAAAATCGTTTAAGGCCTAGGTGGCAGCATGCCTAATGTCTCGGACGGTTATATGTAGACATTCATTTACTAAGGGGGACAGAAAGGTGTGAGTTAATCGTGGAAGGAACTAATGCTAGACTGGGAGCAAGATAGAGCTATGTGCATGTTTCAAAATCTACAAACGTTTGCATAGCAAGTTTCGGTTTTAATAACTAATAACCATGCACTTCCGTGAGTTGGGTCCGGTTGCTGTCTCTTGGTAGCCCATGTGGATGCATGAATGGAAGGCATGAGTAGCATAAAACATGTACACAACAATTAACAGAATTTGAGTCACTTTTGACATATCCCACTTTGGGGTCATCAATATATTTTGTGTAAAACAAAATATAACACTGAAAAGACGACCTTGAACATCAAGTACTTGAAGGTAACAAATAACTTCAAAACAAATAAAAACGGAGTTCAAACAACTCACTTCGGGGCCCATGATATAGTTCACTATATTTCGTGGTAAACAGTTATGGGGTTCTTTTTCGAACAATCCAGTTATGGGGTGCTCTAGCCACTGCACCAGTATACTTCCGTTCTCATCAATAGAAGATAACACTCGACCCAAAATCGGCAGATCTTTTAATTCAATATCCCCAGTGGTTGTACTTGTGCTCCGTTTCTGTAGATCCTCTCTTGATGAGTTCACCAAACTCGGTGCAGATGGCCAGTGTTCGCATGATGAAATGCACATCGATCCTGTGGTAAGTTCATTTTCACACAGAGCAACGGGGAGGTTTGGCACCACATAGGCTCCCGGTTGGAACTGATGTAGGTACGCAATCGCATTCGAAATGGCTTCCTGTAATCCGAGGAATCCGGTAACAAAAGGAAATAATCGTCAATAACAGTGGAATAAATAAACGGATGATTCCAAGAACATTCTACCATCGGGAAAAGTTTCAAACAATGTGTTTTGACAAATCTATTGAATTGTCATTTTGAATTTGACAATTACTTCGCTTTTCATGAACTCTCTTAAGCACAGTTGAAGTAGCAATTTGTCAGGCTGGATTTATGTGATACTGTGGGTATCTCGACTACTGAAACAGCATCATACAATAACGTTCTTTAGTAGCACCATTCTTGGAACAATCCGATTTCAAAATCATAAAAGGTACTAGATTTTATATTTCTATCTTGAGGCATTCTGGGTAGAAATGCGCATCAGTTCACCATAATCATCGAACCCCTTATTACCCTACAACTTATTAAAATCTGTACCTGCTTGAAACGTCTTAAATGAGCGGGTGAAAACCCACTGGAGGTACCTTCGTTACCCTGACCTGCCTCATCTTTTGTCAACCGTATTGCATACTTGTTCGTCCTTGTCATCGTTTTTGAGCCTGGTTACATTTTTTTCCTGTGCCGTGTCGTGCAATGCTCTCAAAAATGGCTTAGACCACTCTTTGTAACCAAAACGTCGGTCCATGTTTTGCTACTTGGTGTGATACTGCCAGGTTGTCTAGGCCAATGCAGGTAAAAAGTACTGTGGATGGTGAAAGAGGTAGAGCCACTTTCCAATAACCGTATTTAGCAACTGACTACATTAATTCTTCGAAGTAATCAGTTCAAATGAGTTCCACCGCAATTAATCACACGCAGCGTTTGTTTCTTATCATCACCTACAGACAGACTTCTTGCCTGTAAAATTTACCATGAAAAGAGGAAGGTAATTTGCAGCATGTACCATGAACTGAAGCCAAGCGATCGCATCCTCCGTACAGTGTACTCAGCGCGGGCAAAATTTAAAACACGTGAAGAACTTTTTATAATCAGAAGAACTTCTGGGAAATTTTATCCACTCATTCATATACCACTCATTATAGAACACTGAAACTCGGCCCTACCATCGAGTTTGCTGAGGTTAGACACATCTAACCCACAACACCTGATACAGAATGATTGCAATCATTATTAGAAAATTGTTCGTCTCAAATCCATAATCCGAGCTGCAAATGAGGTTTGCATTGCATATCTTTCAGAACTCCCATCCACTATTACGATCGAGTGATATCGGTCAGCCAGCTGAGAACACCCACCTCAAGTTATGATATTTACTGTAGAGTAATTATTATGAGTAGTTTAGGTGGTTTTTTCAGAAAATAGCAAAGGTAACGTGGCACTCACGTTATCCGGTGATGTAAACACCTTTTTGACGACTCCAAAAAACTCAATGCCACGTAGATCAAGAGTGGTCCAAGAAGAGTTGTACTGTCGCACAGCTGAGTCTTCTAGTCCTGATGGGAGAATAGCCAATCTGAAGAATCGCCAAATCTTATTGGTGTCTTCCGTGTTTGAAATGTCCCATATCTTTTCACCGTTTGATCCCCAAAATTCAGCTGGGTTACCGACGGGACAAACATGATGTTCCCTCAAAACAGTCCACTGGATTCCGTTTTGTGAACCCTACACATTACGTAATGAGTTAATGCGTTGTTAGCAGTTCTCAGGTCTNTTTTATTTCGAACATGTTTTCACCAAAAAGTCCTTCAACACAACTGCGGATTTATTGTTGTGTGATAAAATAGTGAAGAGTTGACGGTCGGGTCCAGAGAATTTGTAATTTGTACAATTAATGAAACGTGCATGGCAATAGCAAAATTGTTGGTGATTGAGTGACTTCATCAGGACAAAAAACTTATGGAAGATGCACATATATAATTACATATACGTAACTAAATACTTGGCGAATGTACAAATGAAGCTTTCGAGAATGGACAGTATCAGATTCAGTACTTAACAGCTCTTTATGAGTTCCACGGTATTGCTTGATAAGTGTAGCAGTATGTTGATGAATTGAATTCGTTTTTCAATATTTCGTAGCGCACGGAACTGGAGAATTAGAAATACGATGTTAGGACCTAAATAAAAGTAGTTTCAGGCTATAAGCAAGTTGGCAACTTTGATCATGCTGTTCACATACAACATTAGTCCAATTAAATTCTCCATTTTCTATTCGACTCTACTTTCAACTTTCCAGCCTTTCACCTCCTGTTCATCTAAATATGCAGCCAAAAGACATCAACCAAAACCGCTTCATGAAAGCTCATGATTAATGGTGGTACAAACTGAACCTGAAATATGCTAAAATACTCCATGGATCTAATCATCGGTTTTGTATTCTCAATGAAATGATACCTGTACTCTGCTGTTGGATTTCGGAATCAGACTATGTTTGTAAGAGTCAGGAGACTGATTGTATACGCAGACCATTGAATCAAATATTAATCCGCTAAATAATGCAAAAGTTATTCCGGTTTTCTGGATCCATTTCTTCAATTTCGATATTTTACTATTGAGAATGGTCTCCTGCATCCATCCTAATGAGTGCACATTGATACAGACATTTCTCGGGAAGGGAGATGCGGACGATCAGAGGCTACCAGGGAATACACAAAAATGTATGAACAGTGAGGTGATCGAGTTTTGGTGACCGAATCCAAACACGTGACCCCCTGGCAGATATGATAGCAGTCTGTATGGCTTAAATAAGTGGAGAAAATGATGGCGGAATGCAAAATAAACTAGGGAACCGGATTCATTTTCAAGTGGACTAACACATCTGCACTCTCAGCAGTTTTATTTATCAGAGAAGAAGCTTTCATTAAGCCATGATTTATTACGAACAATCAATTAATAACTTTTTCTTCATTCTCTTGCACGAATTGGTATCTTTATGATAATCGTGAAACTAAAGAAATTTCATCAGTGTCTACCACTACGCGATTATTCACTATTGCGATGGTTCTGTTGGTATGCGGTTTTGTACCTAGTAAAACTTCTGGCAAACCTTCAAAGGTAGAAAAAGTTACAATCAGACGTAATGAAGAAACATATCTGGAGATGCGATCGTTATTTCGATGTTAGAATTAATTCTGCAGCAGCGATAATCATAAATTTTAGAAACAAAACTAAATTGGCAAATATACCGATAAAACCAATTCATCATAGGACATACATTTCAAAGATGGTGAGTTCAGAAAACGTAGAATTCGGATAACACAAAAGCGACGCATTCCAAACTGCTGCATTGGTAGAACGATATAATATTGTCTTTACCTGAAGTTGCCAATTGAAAAGTCGTGGCCAATTATTACCTCGTATAGGCACTTGTAAGAGATAATGTGACAGTTCCAGTTGCATGCCCAAATCGAAAGCAATCCAAGCAGTGGCGTGTGTTGAGAAAGGCATATCGTTGCTAGCGCGAATACACACTCNGGATGGACAGTTTGAAATGCGAGACTTTGAATGAGACTGGAATGAGGCATGTGCTTTGTGAACAGTACGCCGGGATTTTGCGGAGTCATTGCGCAATCCTCGGTCCGGACCGTGGAACTTATTCGATCGGGTCATGAGTAAAGATCCGAGAGTAATGGGGTCTTGGTTCAACTTAGAGTCTGAACTGAACAACCGCACGATCCCATGAAGCCGAAGTGGATTAACCCATCTGGTCTCTCGGCCCCCGTTGGTGCCCAGCCATTCAAACACACCACCTTCGAAAATCCGTGCACCGCATGCTTTGTCGTTATCCGAGATCATGTTGACAGATTCCTGAGGAAACAAACACAGCACATGTTGAGTCGTGATCTTAATATGCATTTCATTGTTTCTCGTAGTCCGGAAGTCAAAAAGTAAAACAAACTTCATTCCTTGGGTTGTACCCTAGAAACCTCAACCAGGTGAACAATTAAAGCTATGACCACCACAAAAACCCGCGGCTCACTTATGGAAACCACAACCCCAAATGCTAGTATTTGAGGCGGGATAGAGTCGGGCTATATCTAGATTGACTTACATCAGTTAGGTGCTGTGGAGAAGGTTTCGCACTCGAAACTTAAGGTTCGATGCACACCAATGAGATAGACTTAAATCTCATTGGTATATTAAAGACATTTTTTCGTCTATTAATTATGTTCACGGTATAATTTTCCACTTAATGTGAGTTTATCAACAGGTTTGTGCATGCAAAAGTCGTTTGAAACCAAAGTACGACATTTTGGACAAGGAATGTGATCAATTCAATGCCACCTAAATGAGTAACTAAAGGACAGTAATCAAAACCGCCGCATGAAAGTGCATGGTTAATGGATGCACAAACTAATACTGAAACCTTTCTTTGAGGATACATAACGTGCACTAATGTGGTCTGTTGGAGAAAACGGTTATTAATCAACCACGAATACATTATAAATCTCTCTGCTGGCGTTCCAATAGAATGACACATTTGGATAACAGAGCGGAAGATTGGAATATTCGGAGAGGAGTCAAAGAGAAAATAGAGAATTCATAAGGACTGCGGTTGCAAAAATGATAAGTGAATACACGAGCGCTGCTGTTTACGGCACTCAACCATATCACTCAGCGTCTCTAACCACTGGTTACCATGATCTCATACCAATCCAAGGAGACTAACAACTAATGTGATATCTACATATATATATATACCTCATAAAACCTTTTAGTTAAATCCTATTCCACGTTGTTTGTCTAGCCTTTGCTGGACATTGATGTGGATCCAGGCATCTACGTGTTTGTCATTGCCAAGGGAAGATCGATATTTCCTACGTGTAACGGATGAGAGCTAATATTACGTGGTTGATAGTTATTCCCAAAGGGACCAACTCAACCGCTAATACAATGAAATCATACGACTGAGAACTTCCAACTAGAATTAGACAGTTGTACTACAGTGGCTGCACCATTTTTATCTATCACGACGAATGCATATTTAAAACCAAGCATCATGCATCTGGATTCTATGAGTTCACACTCTTTCTTCGTCATGAACTATCATGACTATTTTACAAAACCGTAAAATTTCCATTCAGCTAACATACACCAATATAAGGGGTAAATCCGTTTCGATCTCCAAACAGACGTTCCCTGATCATACCTCAAACCGCATATACCTTTCCCCAACCATCCTCCATTATCTCTTGATCTGTGTCATTTCGTCCCTTTTAGTACTGGGCCTGCTACGCCGGCGTTGACCCAGTTGGTCTATTGATCCGTCCGTCTGTGTTCTCACGCCAATAACCCGTATCACCTTGGCCCTTAGTTGTTCACCCTCACCACCTCACGATCTCCTTATTCGTGCCCGGTAGGCATTGACACACGCGCGAGTACGCCCACACAAGTTCAAAGATCCCGTCCCTCACGCAATCGCTATTTTAACGCCGTACATTTGATTGGCTGGCTGTCAGCCATCGAACCCTTGTGTACGTGTGTTTGCCACCTAAGGCACTCCGACCGTTGACTTTGACTGAACCGCACGCACCTGCATTCGTTGAGTTGAACGCTTTGACAACCTTTGAAAGCTTATTTTAGCGCACTAGCATTTGGTTGTGCCTTGATAGAGCAAACACTCTCGATTCGAGGTTTGTACTTATTTTGTATTAACCATTCGCTGTCTATAGTAGTAACGCATTCCAAGACAAT